AATTGAGGGCTCCCATCCCACAGGTGCAGGCCCTGTGCAGGCCAGATGCGGAGGATCTGGGCCCCTTTTCATTAAAGGACTCTTACAGGAGCCCTTCAGACGCAACCACACCCTTCTCTCCCTCATCGTTGGCCTCCAGGGAGCACACAGGGATGGAAGGGCTGTAGTCAAACGAGGGAGTGGTCTCTGCGGATAAAGCCAAATGGCCCAGGCAAGGACTCACCCGTTAAACAAATTCGGTCTAGCATCCAGGAACAATGCAAAAGCCATATAAACATTTACTGTTGCCTCCTGAGAGAACACTTCATGAAGAATTGCATTTGTAACGTGCAGTAAAACTTCTAAAATCCTTTGTTCTCCAATTTTCCTCCCAATCCCTCCCCTCCCCCACTCCAACTTCACTGGGTCCTAGATCCGGCTTCCTTCATTCCGGGGTCTCCCTCTCCTGCCTCCCTCATCTCCAGGCCTGCCTCCATCCCCAGCAGCACCCCTGCGCCCTTGCTCCTGTAAAGCTACCCAGACAGGCTGGCTATCTCCCTTGTCCTCCGTCCCCATTTCCACCATCAACATCAAAATGGCTCAGGAGGGGATCCTCTTCCAAGGAGGAAGAGAAATTGTGACTGTTCCTAATCACAAATTGTCTCCAAGGTAAATAATTCTGGGAGAAGCAGGCACAGGAAACCGGCTAGGAATCTGGCATGGAGGGAGGCAACCACAAAGGCACTCGGTTCTCACAGTGCTCCCACCACAGGCAAGCCCTGCCCTAAGAGCTGGAGCAGTGGGTGGGTGTCTGCCAAACTGAGTGAGATGCAGCCCCCTCCCTGAGACTGACCGCCGGGCTGCAGACTCATGGACACACAGCTCTCGATCTACATCCCCAAAGTCAGGCTGCTCAGGGGCTCAACCTTGGATCTACCCTGGAATTGCTTAGGAGCTTAAGAAATGCTGATTTTTCCTCACCAGAGACTCTGATCTAATTAGCCTGGTGTGAGGCCCAAGGCATCTAGGAGCATTGGCTAAATTAAAAGCTCCCTAGGTGATTTGAATGTGCAGCTAGGGCTGAGATCTACTAAGCTGATCAGTTGCTCAGGAGAGCACCCCAGAGCCTGGGGGCTCCAGCCACAGCTCCAGGCACAATGACCCCCCACCCCATCCAGTTCCCTTTGATGCATCAGGAGGAAGGAGTTGGGGCCAACACTCTGGCTGGCACAGAATAACTTAAGATAGCAGCTGGGGTCTCATTCATTCATCATCCAATCATGTATTCAATAACTATTTAATATACGTATTGTGAAGGCAACAAGAGAAACGGACCAAGGGCTCCAGTTTAGACTGGGGAGTCAGGCCTCTTTGAGGAGGTGATATTTAAATCACCTGAGTGGCAAGAAGGGGCCTGCCCTGTGAACCACCATGCCAAGCAGGGAGTGCGGAAGTGCAGAGGCCCTGCACAGGGAGCAAAGCAGGTATGCAGCTGGAGCACAGCTGGTGGAGAAGAGAGCAGTGAGCCGAAGTCTGGGAGGTGGGCAGAGTGTATCGTAGGGGGTCTTGGAGCTGTGGTTAGGAGGTGGTTTTCATTCTCAGTGCAATGGGAAGTCCCTGGAAGCTTTTCAGGAGGGAATGACAAGACCTGGTTTGTGTTTTTAAAAGACATTCTGGCTGCTGTGGGGAGGATGGCTGGTGGGGAGCAGGATGGACACAGGTGAACTGTCCGGTCCTTCAGGGTAGAAGGCACCCCTGTGCTGAGACCCCAGGGGGAAGGTCAAGGACCCAGTTCTTCCTCACAGTGGGGAATGTAGGTCAGGCAGCTCCCTCAGCCAAGCTGCCAGTGCAGCCCCCTCGCCTGTCAGGGGGAGAAAAGCTGTCTGAGATGTGTGGGCTCAGCTGAGAGATCAGCATTGGCAGTGAAGGCAGAGATAACAGTCGACCAGGTGCAAGGATCTGGGCCACCGACTAAGGTCTCTTCATCCTCCTTCCCAGGGTGCCTCTCCCTGCACCCCTGTACCCCCTCACCATCTTCCCAGCAGGCTGGGCCAGCCCAGAGGCAGGCCTCAATCTGTGCCTGGAGCAGGTGGCTGTATTTTAAGATCAGGGCTCAAACCTCTAAATAAACCATAAATAAAGCCAGCTTCCCCAGTATAGAAGGAGGGAGACGGCTCCATTTCTTTTCAGCACAGTGGCTGGGAAATAAACAAGTGGCTCTGCCTGTCACATACACTTACCCTCTGCAAAGGCATCTGTCAGACCCACAGAGCTTCTGCCTCAGCCTTTCCAAGAAATAACTGATGTGCCCCACATTGGGCTTCTCCCTGCAGGCTCCAAGTTCACTTTGCCATTCGAGGAAAGGTGAGCATGGGGCTTGCCCCTGACCCCAGCCTCGCAGGAAGAGCTATCAAAGGGCAGGCTTAGACACAGGGCCCCAGTGTAGCTGGAAGCATGTTCGCACAGCTCTCTCAGCTGGGGAAGGGGACAAGAGGAAAGGAGAGAGGGAGGAAGATAAGAGGTCAGGCGGTTGGCAGGAGCAGGGGCAGAGCTGAGAGGGGCAAGGAGTGGCTTCTGTTAGAGAGATGGGAGGATGAGAGCCTCAGGGGCCCAGGCAGAGACTGGTGTGCAGGTAGGGTGGCCGTGGGTGCGGGAGAAACAAAGAAACAGAAGGCAGAGGGCTCTCTCTCCATGGGTGAAATCTCCCACGACCACAGAGGATGAAGGAGCAAGAACAACAGACAGGAACAGAAGGAAGCGGGCAGATACATGAAGCAGGGGAGGGAGGAAAGCCCCGGAGGAATCAAACTCAAGTATGTGTAGAAGGAAGGACCCTCAAAATGCAGCAGGAAAAGGTGATGTATGCATTGAGCTAAACCAGAAGAGCCAGGAGCCAAGGCCAAGGGAATGGGAGCGGCTGGGAATGGTGACATGTGGCACACACAGATATGTGGCGGTGAAGCAGAAGGGGGCTGTGAGCTCTGGAGGGGCCAGAAGGCAGGCAGCTCATAGTGAAAGGATAGGGGTAAGAGCTAGAGAGAGCCACAGGGCCCATGAAGACTGTGCCCCAGGTGCTGCTGCTCAGGCCCCTGCAGCAGGGACACCTTGCAGCCACCATCACCCCCAAGTTGTGGGAGAGGGGATTGGAAAAGGTTGAAAGAGGCAGTGACACAGGGATTACACATGCATTGAAGCACACACCCCCTCAGCAAGGGCAGCACTCTCTCCACAGCACCCCCATGGGGATGAAGGAGATCCAGGGGCTCCCAGACTGCAGCCAGATGCGCGGGAGCCACAGACCTCCAATGATGGACACAGCAGACCTAGATGAGGTTGCTCTCCACAACACAGACCCTGAGAGAAAGGGAGATGAAGACAAGGACAACCAAGATCAGATTTTTCTCCCTCTCCCTCTCTCTCACACACACACATACACTCTCACACACGCAAACACACTGGGAAATAAAGGGTGGCTTGTATGTGTTTGGGGGTAGGGCAGATGGGAGGACTGGTTTCCTCTTTTAAGGACCTGAAGAAAAGTTTCCCAAAGCCCGGGGAAAGGTCAAACACAAGAAAGAGGAAGTGTGTGTGGCCCTCACTACCCTACTTTCCCTCCCATGTGGCTGCCTCAGCCTACACACACATTTGCAGAGGCCTGCAGGGGCATGGGTGTGAAACCCTCTCAGCAGGCAACACACTGCATTCACACCCACACACATGTCCAGAAGCCAGTGGCTGGCACAGGGATGGGTCAGACTTGGATGCAGGAGCTCCCATACGAAGCCAGATTAAGGGTCCTCTCCAGGTCCACCAAGGAGGTCCCAAGTCCTCCAGGGCTATACAGAGCACCTCTCCAGCTGGGACGGCATTGCCAGAATTGCCTAAAGAAAGAATGTGCTTCCCACTGTGGCTGTGGTGTTTGCACCATGAGTCCAGAGCCACCTTGCAAGGGCATTCCCAGGACTTCTGACGGAGACATGTAGACGCTAGCTCCCTGCTAAGCTCGCACACCCACGGTGCCCCAGTTTTGCAAGTGGACACCACAGAGAAAGACCAAAGGGAGGGGGCTGCCCAGGGACTGGGTCCATTTCTCAGCTCAGCCCAGTAGGCAGGGCCTTAAGGACAATCCTAGGAGACCAAGAGCTCAGATCTGGGCCACGAGTCTTCTTGGGAATGGGGACGCAGATCCTGAGCACATCTACCAGTCCCCACTCCAGCTCGAACCCCCCAGTCCCCACTGTTGGCACGCCCATCGGTCTCAACGTATTTCACACACATAAGTCCGTCACAGTCCCAAGAATACTACACTGTACACAGCACACTGTACACACAGCACACGGTTCTCCATGCCACACACTGCGCTGACACATGTCCCAGGGCTCCCCTGTGCCGACGCATCTTCCCATCCGACAGAGGACCCATTTTAATGAATGCGGTACACACAGTGAAAAGTCCTGCTGTCCTCAGCCTATACACACACACAGCGCCCTGCAGTCCCGCACAGCCCGCATACCACACCAGCCTGGACACAAATGGTGCCCACACAGAGCTCCCGACCAGAACTCAGCGACTCCCGCCCCCTCTGTGCGGCCTGCGCTACCGTCCCCCGCGTACTAAGCCGAGCTCCACCTCAGACTTCCCGGCCCCCTGTTTTCTCCTCCAGCTCCTTTTCCCCAACAACCCCACCCCCGGGCTTCGGGAAACTTTTCTTCAGGTCCCTAAAAGGGGAAACCTGGAGTTCCTCCGGTCCCGCCCTGTCCCCGGACACGCGCAAGCCGCCCTTTATTTCCCAGCCCGGCTCCCGCCAGACCCAGCGGGGAAAGGTCACCGTAGGCAGCCCCCTGCCTGCGCCCTGGGGGTGGTGATAATAACAGCTGTCACCGGGGGATGGGCGGGGGGGAGGGAGGGGTGTCGGCCCCGCGCCGAGCCGGGGGCGCAAGGTGGTCGCGGTGACGCGCCGGGGAAGCGCAGAGAAGCAGCGGCGGCGGCGGCTGCGCCTTCCGAGCCCGGGGCGGCGGCCGAGGCGCGCGGAGCTGTCCGTTCAGCACCACCGCGCCGCGCCCAACGCAGGGCCCGCGCCCGGTCACACCCGCTCTGCTCCCGCCCGGGTTCACGGGGCGCCTGCGGCGCGGGCTGCTGCTTCTCTCGGCGGGTGACGGGCGCGCGGATCCGGAGAAGGGGCTCCGCGAGCGGCGGGACCACGCAGCCACCTGTGAGCCTTCCGCAGCTGCAGGCGGCGGCGGCTTGCCCGGCCCGAGACGGGAGGAGAAGCTCGGCGGCCCCCGCCCGCCGGCCCGCCAGGCGCACACTCGGGCGCACACACTCGCATCCGCGCACGCACCGCCAGCAGGCAGCGGCCACCGCCGCGATGCTCGCCCGCAGGTCGGGGAAGTTTCCCGCCGGCCTCGGCCGCGGGCGCCCGTGCTCCCAGGTAAGCGCTTCCAGAACGCGCAGGGCGAGCCCGGGCAGCCCCGCCGGGTGAGGCGCAGCGCACGCGGGCCTGGGGCATAGCGCCAGGCGGGCGGTGAGACCTGGGCCAGGGACGCGGGGGCTGCAGGCTTGGGAGCTGGACCCAGGGGAGGCCGGGCCGCCCCGCTCTTTCCCCGGCCCGGGTTTCCAGACTCCAGCGCATCCGCCCCAACCTCCCAAAGCTACGCGCCCCCCATGTCGGCCCCTCTCTGCCCGTGCGTATTTCAGCTCTGGTCCCTCCTGTCTGCGGCGAGCGGGCGGGGGCGTCTCCCGGGCCTGCCCATGGACAAGGTCAGCACGCAGCCCCCTGGGCGCTCAGAGCCGCGGGGACGCGACGCTGCACGCGCAAAGCGCCAACCGAGACCCCCGGGGTGGAGCCGTGCTAATAGAAACATACCTACCCCCAGCCTTTCCTGGGAGGGGGCCAGACCCCTCAAACTCTTGCCCCAGCCCAGTGCCCTTCAGCACCCAAGACCCACCTAGGAGGCTTGGGCCCGCCAGAAATGGGTAGGGAGAGGGGGCGATGGGCCGGGGCGCACGGCCCTCTTGCCGACGCTGTTCCCTCCGCTTCCAGGTGTAGCGCCCCCGCGCGGCGCGGGCGGCCGGTGCCTCCAGCATGACCGGCCAGAGCCTGTGGGACGTGTCGGAGGCCAACGTCGAGGACGGGGAGATCCGCATCAACGTGGGCGGCTTCAAGAGGAGGCTGCGCTCGCACACGCTGCTGCGCTTTCCCGAGACGCGCCTGGGCCGCCTGCTGCTCTGCCACTCACGCGAGGCCATTCTGGAGCTCTGTGATGACTACGACGACGTCCAGCGGGAGTTCTACTTTGACCGCAACCCTGAGCTCTTCCCCTACGTGCTGCATTTCTATCACACCGGCAAGCTTCACGTCATGGCTGAGCTGTGCGTATTCTCCTTCAGCCAGGAGATCGAGTACTGGGGCATCAACGAGTTCTTCATTGACTCCTGCTGCAGCTACAGCTACCATGGTCGCAAAGTGGAGCCCGAGCAGGAGAAGTGGGACGAGCAGAGTGACCAGGAGAGCACCACGTCTTCCTTCGATGAGATCCTTGCCTTCTACAACGACGCCTCGAAGTTCGATGGGCAGCCCCTTGGCAACTTCCGCAGGCAGCTGTGGCTGGCCCTGGACAACCCTGGCTACTCAGTGCTGAGCAGGGTCTTCAGCATCCTGTCCATTCTGGTGGTGATGGGGTCCATCATCACCATGTGCCTCAATAGCCTGCCTGACTTCCAAATCCCTGATAGCCAGGGCAACCCTGGCGAGGACCCTAGGTTCGAAATCGTGGAGCACTTTGGCATCGCCTGGTTCACATTTGAGCTGGTGGCCAGGTTTGCTGTGGCCCCTGACTTCCTCAAGTTCTTCAAGAATGCCCTAAACCTTATTGACCTCATGTCCATCGTCCCCTTTTACATAACTCTAGTGGTGAACCTGGTGGTGGAGAGCACACCTACCTTAGCCAACTTGGGCAGGGTGGCCCAGGTCCTGAGGCTGATGCGGATCTTCCGCATCTTAAAGCTGGCCAGGCACTCCACGGGCCTCCGCTCCCTGGGGGCCACTTTGAAATACAGCTACAAAGAAGTAGGGCTGCTCTTGCTCTACCTCTCCGTCGGAATTTCCATCTTCTCCGTGGTGGCCTACACCATTGAAAAGGAGGAGAACGAGGGCCTGGCCACCATCCCCGCCTGCTGGTGGTGGGCTACTGTCAGTATGACCACAGTGGGGTATGGGGATGTGGTCCCAGGGACCACGGCAGGGAAGCTGACTGCCTCTGCCTGCATCTTGGCAGGCATCCTCGTGGTGGTCCTGCCCATCACCTTGATCTTCAATAAGTTCTCCCACTTTTACCGGCGCCAAAAGCAACTTGAGAGTGCCATGCGCAGCTGTGACTTTGGAGATGGAATGAAGGAGGTCCCTTCAGTCAATTTAAGGGACTATTATGCCCATAAAGTTAAATCCCTCATGGCAAGCCTGACGAACATGAGCAGGAGCTCACCAAGTGAACTCAGTTTAAATGATTCACTACATTAGCTGGGAGGACTTGTCACCCTCCACCCTACATTGCTGAGCTGCCTCTTGTGCCTCTGGCACAGCCAGGCACCTTATGGTTATGGTGTAAGGAGTATGCCCAGCCCCTGAGGGGAGAGATGCATGGGATATGCACCCAGGTTTCTTTTGCAGTATTTAGAATCGTTTTTAGAGGGTGGTGTGTCTGACACCATGCCTTTGCACCTTGCCATGAAATGACACTCACTGGTCTTTGCATCGTGGGCATAAAATGTTCACCTTTTTGCCAGATGAGTACACCCAGAATGCTAATTTTTCTGTTCATCGTGTACGCTATTCTAGTGCTTGTGGCCCAGTACTGTCTATGAGTTGTTGTGCTCCTGTTTCTGAGGTTGTCGTGTGAGTTCTGTACAAAAAGCCCCCACAAGTCTGTCCACTGGAAATGCATCTATGAGGTCAGCAAGGATATCATGAGATTTTTGCTCACAGTCATGTGAAAACAAAATCTCAGCTCTTTATTCATTGCTTTCATTTAGTTTTAATACCAAAACAAAGAGAATGCAAAGTTAAGCACACTTGACTAATGCAAGTCTTAAGTTGTTTTTATAAATGATCTGTAGTTCCGTGGCTTGCATGGGTGCACCTATCATCTTTAGAACGATGTACACTGATGTTCATCTCATAAATGTCACTCTTTAGAGAATGTTAGTTAAACATGTAGCGAAGATCGAATTTTTTCTCCAAGGACAGATGCGTTAGGGAGAGGGGCTTCAGCTAAATAGTCGAGACCCTAGGGTGCTTAAAGCCAAGTCAGTGCAGGCTGAGCCCCTTGGTTCATGGTCAAACCTCCGTGTTTGCTAGGGTGACTGTAGAGACATGTATTTCTGGATGAGGTTTCTGATCTAGACCATTTGACCAAACTTTGCTGCGTCTAAGATATTAGCATGTTTTTGAAATATTTATTTTTTAAGATGTTTAGGAGTAAGGTTGTGTTGTCTTCCTCAACTAAAAAGAAGTTTACTGTTGTATCGTCTCCCTGAGGTGAACGTTGTTGAGTTGCTAGCAAGGGCAGTAGCTTACTTTTGTTGCCTGCTCTGAAAGCTCATCAAATGAGAGCCCTTTTATTTCTAAGCAGAATTTACTCAAATAATTTTGCTTCTAAGATATAGTATGTTGTATATATGTTATGTTTTCCCTGGAGTTCCTGCCATGACATGGAAACCTGGTGGTATGGAAGCATGTACTCAAAATATAGATGTGCATGAAGGTGGTGTGGCTTACCCAGGATGGAAATGCTGCAGTTCTTACTTGCATTCCAACTGCCTTTCATTGAGGGTGAGTGGGTAGAGGCCAGGAGAAAGGAAAGAGTTGTAAAATAAAAAAACTGCTAGTTCATAAAATGTCATAAAAATTGTAAACTTGAAAAGCTTAATGCTATTCAAAAGACTTTCGAACTTCTAAACTTGCATTGAAGGGAGATGACTGTTTTCTCCTCCAAAATTCTCCTGCCCCTGTTGTTCAGTTAACCAGCACATAACATTGTGATGGGGAACCTGGGTTCCTCTATAAGATAATTTTTCTCCATCATCTCTAAGGTAATCTGATGGTTTTCCAGGGGGCTTTCATTATTGTTCCATCTTTGAAAAGGCAATAGAACCCAGGGGTCTGAGCATGGAGCTATCCAGGCTTTTCATCCAAAGGTTGGGACTCTTCTTAAGAGGTCCTTTTGTGTTTCAGTTGATTGAAGATGATACTTACCTCGTGGAGGCGTGGCAAGGGTCTTCTCAGAAGGCTTTGTGTTCTTGTAGTTGTCATGGCTACTACAGTGTGGGTGATTGATTGAATGAATTCACTAGCCGCTTGTGTCCTGGAGCCCCCAGTTCAAATCTTTCCATCAGACTGGAGGCTCATGGGAGGCTGGGGGTGGCTGTCTCCTAGTGTCTACATCCATGTCTCTGAAGCATCAGGAAAAGTGAGATGACTTAGAGGCAATGGGGCACTGAATCAGAGGAGCAGGGCTATTTTTCAGAATTTGCACATGGAACACTTAGCTTTGGCTGATGCTTCCAGCCCTGGAAGGCATAACATTTACAGCGTCATCCCCAGCTGCACTGAAGGCAGGTGGTGGTACAGACTTAAGAGGACCGTTCAGTTTGCCAAGGCTGATGGTATTGGGTCACTGAGCCTGGTATCCACGGCCACTGACCAGGAAACTTATGCAAAGTGGAAACAAGGAAGGAGGCAGAATAACTCAGTCACTCTCATGAGGTTTTTCTAAACAAGAAGGCTTACCACCAAAAAAGAGGTACCCTAGTGGTTACCCTTTGCAGATGTGAAAGCTGGAAAACTTGACTTTTCTTTTTGGTAATGACTTGCATTTATCTGGTGCCTTTCATTGGAGGAATCCCAAAGTGCTTTAGAGACTATCTTTTTAACATCTCTTGTACATACATATATACTTACATATATACTTATATAATATTATCTTGCCCACCTGGACCTTTAATCACTTCTGAGCATGAGAATGTCCCAATAGCATTGAGTTTTTCAAGTGGTGGTTTTAGATAAGTGGGAGAGAGAACAACCCGGCTGGCTTGAACCATGGAGCTAATTCCCACAAGGGATGTAGACTGACTGGTGACCCAGAGAGAAATAATCTTCCTCTTCCCTAAAGTCTCACTAAGATGTGAAGTTTACAGGTGCTCTCCACTGGGTCTTCGATTGACCTTGTTAGGTAACATCTAACCAGCAGGTTTTTTTAGTCCCTGAAGCTTACCAGGGAGGGTCAGGTTAATTTTCTGCATTGCTCTTGGAGCAAAGGCTAAAAATATGAGGTGACATCTTTGGCAACCAGGCTGTCAGACTGACCTGTAAACCTCCTTTAGGGGGACAGAGTAGAAACTGGAGATGATTTGTTTCCAGCTGTGAGCTTGAGAGAAGCGTCACTCCCAACATTTGAAGGTTATTGCTTTCAATACCATTGGGACAAATATATGGGCCAGGCTTTGATATCTGTGATGCGCATTTTGGAAGTGCTGGGTTGGGAAGTGACACATGTCTGTTGCACAAATGCATATTGGTTATAGGATTGTGTTTTCTGCCAAACCCCCACATTTCTTGGGTTTGCGAGTGAGGAAGGGCATGTTGTAATGCCGAGCTGATTTGTAGCTCGTAAGGTAGTAATTGGTATTTAACATTTGGATTTGTTATTTCTACTTATCTTAGCACTCAGATAATTGAACTACCTGCTAATTCTTGCCTCATTTCAAAGAAAATAAGTTGTTATGCACTTTGGGATAGTGGTGATCTGTACAGGCTGTGTGTTAGCTACTTGAAGGCTTAACTGGTATTTCTTGTATGTTTTAACAGCATGACTTCTTACAGAGTTGTAATTTTTAAAATTGAGGACGCCGTATTTGAGATGTCAGTTTTAACACTCATTAACACACTACTGTGCAAGCATTGATGCAGGCTGCACGGAACCGTTATGTCTGATTGTTGCACTTTCATCTCTGTGCCTGGATTCGGGAATGGGCAGTAATACTGACACACCCAGGACTCCAGCTTCAAAAAGTGTGCAGATTAAATAGATGAAAATTATTTGCACCTCTTGGAGGTACTTCAATTACATATGCAGTAGCAAACAAGGAGGGCATTTAAAGTTGGGGACCAGATTTCCTGAGAAAGCCTGTTGTTTTTGTTTTTGTTTTTGTTTTTTTGCAGTTTGGGGGAAGGGGAAGCTGTTGTTTATTCTTTGTAAAGGCGGGGTCCTGCTTTTCTAGGATCTTGAGCCACTGGCCTCCTTTGTAGAAGGAATGGTCATGTACTCTTGTAACTCTTGTGAAACAGACACCCCTGCAGGATTTTCCTCCCGCATGCTTTCCTGCTCAGCACCTCTGTCAGCCTGCCCTGCCAGCCCCACCCTGTTCCAAAGTGCCACTCTCCCTGCTGCTGAAGTAGCTCCCTCATAGTAAATTGGGTAACCCTAAGTGTCCTGGCTGGTTGGGCATGAACACTGCTGGGGGATACATAGAGACACTTCTTGGCACACTTAAAATAGACTGAGAGTATAAGCCGGTCCAAAGGCCATGGTGAATCAGTAGGAAGGCCACTGGGCAGACTTGGTTCTGCTGGGTGTTGCCTTCAGCTCTGTGACTGTAGGTACATAGTGTGGCCTCTCCAAGCCTCACCTTCCACTGCTGCAAAATGAGAAGGTTGGATTAGATCATCCTTAAAGCCCTACCCACTTCTTCATCTCAATATAAAAACAGAATTTCTGCATGTCTCTCTATGTCCTCATTCTAGCCATGAGCCGATCCTACTATCCCTAATTTATTTTTAAGAAGAGCAGAGACATTGTTTACAAACAACCTTCTATTTGGTTTCATTTCCTCTTCAGCAGTCAGCCACAATAGACGACATTTGCAGGGACAATGCAATCAGGGAAATGCTTGAGCTAGGTTCTGATCCAAGTGAATCAAGTTTTAAAATCATCAGCGAGTGTCTCCTTTGGGATTTCCACTATTTCCACCTAGGTACACCGAATCCAGATTCCTGCTATTAACAATCATTAGACAGAGGAAAATCACCAAGATCCCATTCAACTTCAGGGCTAACACTGCTCATTTTGGTTTGTTGCCTTTGTGAAGGATAGGAGATCCCCTACCTGTTTCCATGAGGTTATTGGGCCCCAGAAGGGGCCCTGAGTTGTAGAGAGCAGATGGCTGTCCCATCCAACACTCAACTCACACTGAGCAGTGGTGGCATCTGCAGGTGACCTTGTCTGTGTATGCAGCAGAACGGTGTAGAAATCTGTGTTAACCTTGCCCCACACTCGTTGAGGCTGAGGAAGGATGCACAGCACTGCTCTCCAGCCTCGCCACTGTCTTTGCATTCCATCAAGTAGGGGGTAGCTCAGCTCCTCCCCTTTAGCCACCATCCCTGCAGCAAGGGTATAAATGAATGTTCAGGGGTATCTTAGGGCCAGGATGCCTTACATCTTAAAAGGAAAAACAAACACCTCCCCTTGAGGGAAGAACTTACATGTTGCATGTACACGGTTATTATCTCCTGTTATTTTTAGGAGAATTCTTAACTAGCATTTCCACCCAAGGACCTTACATGGGTGTTACATCTGGTCGATGCTGCAGGTCTGAAACTCTGCAACATTTTCCCTCTTCTGGGACCTCACTTGTCAATAGCATCATCCTCCTGGGTAAATTCTCCCAAGCAAACGACTGTGTCTGCAGCTGGCAGCTGATGCATTCAGAAGAACAGAGACGCAAACAAGTCCTCAGAGATCCGTGGAGGGGAAAGAGAGGGAGGGGAAAGAGATACAAGAGAGGGAGAGAAGAAGGCTGGCATGCCTTGGAGTTGTGTAAGGTCCTACAGAAGGAACGGGATAGGAAGAAACCAGAACATGGAGGGAAAGAGAAAAAAAGAGGGAACAGGAGAGAGTGAATAAAGGAAAATGCAGAGAAGAAAGAAAGGAAAAGAGCAGAGAGCAAAAAGAGAGGCAATGTCTAGTGACATTATTTTAGGACTTCCAGTGAGTCTATTTTATTTCCAGTCAACCTAGCGTGCTCCTAGCTCAGCAAGGCCTCCTGGAGGCAACGATCGCTGGGGTTGCTCCCACTGCTCTCCACCTGGACTGGCCCCCATCCCTGCTTGCCAGAGGGCTTCACAGTCTGGTAGAATAGAGAGCTCCGGAGCCCACTGGAAGCATTTTTGGATGAAGAGGGCAATGAGGACACAAGGAAAGAAGGAATGACTGTTTCCTCTGTGAAGACAAGACTTCCGGGCTACAAACAGAAAGAGGACTCCAGGGGCCAGCCAGACAGGGTGTGGTGCTGGGAGTCAGGGCTGGACAGGTGGAGGGGAGGGAAAAGGAAAAAAACCTTTTCCTCCAGGAACAGGAACCTGCATAGGCAGAGAAAAGAAGGCCGAAGCCCCAGCATGTGTGCAGAACGTCGAAGTCAGTAAGTCTAGAGAGAAGCAAGGTGCAGATGGGGGGCAGAGCTAAGCCATCTGAAGAGCCTGAGCTTCATGCTTTTGTCACCAGGGTGGAGACATCCTGACCTGATGAATGTTGTCAGAATGTGACTCTAGCATCAGCTTGCAAGTGTGAGAGGGGACAGGTGGCTGATTTGAGGTCACGGTCACAGTATAGATCAGATACAAAGGGAGTGGGGTGGGGAGGAGGAGCAGTGCAGGTCAGCGGGGAGGCGGCTCTGCAGGACTCCATCAGTGACTGGATATGGGATGAGAGGGAGAGGAGAATGGTTTCTGGGTTTCTGGCTGGGTTGGTGGCTGGGTGGATGGTGGTGCCACGTGGAGAGGTAGGGAATACTCAGAGCCATGTTGCCTGAGTGCCTGGGACACACAGAGGGGGTGTGCGGTGGGCAGAGGGAGGCCTGGGGTGGGAGTCCTCAGCTTAGAGATGGAAGTGGACACCATGGAGAGGCCAGGAGTCACCCTGAGGGAGACTGGCATGGGAAGGGACCCTTGGGGATGAGTGAGGCCATAGCCTTGCTTTTCTCAGCTGACTCCTTATCTGTCAACCTATTTCTTTCCTTTTGCCTGAGAAATCCTAGAGGGGTGACCTTGGCTTTCCTCTCCTGCCACTTCCTTGTGTTTTCTCTGTGACCGGCCTCTGTTCCCACCGCCCTTTTGGAACTGCTGTCCTGATGGTCACCAGTGCTTTCCTGATAGCCAAATTCAGTGTCCTGTCCTCCACTCTCAAGCTCCCCCGAATTCTTTGGCCACACAGATCAGCCTCTAAGTCCCGGGCACTCCCTCCTTTGCGATTTTTGGGGCTCTGCTTTTCCCTCCCATCACCCCGTGGTTCTTCCTTCTCCTCTGACCCCTCCCTCTTTAGTTTCTCCCACAATTCTGTCCACAGCCACACTGTCCGTAGGAGCCTGCCACACCCTATATCCAACTGCAGCCTCAACCCACCTGCAAAGGACCCCTGTGTCTCCTGCCCGATGCCCTCACTCCTGAGCCCCACACCCACGTCACCCATGTGCATTGGCATTCGCTCTCTCTAAAATGGAACTTCCCACCTTCACTCCAAACTTGCTCTTCCTCCTGACTTCTTCCTCATTTCTGTCAATGGAACCACAGCGCTCCCAGCCCCTCGGGTTGAAATTTCGGTCATCTTTGAATCCTCCCAATTTATGTACCCCTTTACTCACCATCGTGATTATTTACTGGCAGCTGAGTAATTGCCAAGTACCATGTTAGATGCAAGGGAAATAAATCCAAAGGGCGTTGTGCACAGTCATAAGCAGTGTAGACTTGAGAGACACTTTACTGTGCAGCAGAATCCTCCGGGGAGCTTTTCACGATGTAGATTTCTGGGCATCACCCATCTACGAATTCAGACTCTTGAGGTGAAACCAGGAATCTGCAGTTAAAGGTTTGCAGGTGACTTGGGTTCAGGTGGCTTTCAGACCATTCATGGGGAAACACTACTTCAGGGGTTCCCCTTGCAGACCACATCATCTCCTCGCCTGCACCCACTGGACCAGGTGTCACCCGCACTTTCCTCGGTATCTTGCACGTTGGTCCCCTTGTATCCATTCTAGGGCTCTCACCCCACTTCTGTCTGTGTTAACTCATGTTCATTCCCAACAGACTCATCCCCAGGCTCTCCCCCAACAACCCATCCTTTTCTGCAACCCCTCCACTCCCCGCCCCACACACACATCTTTCTCTTTCCAGTGTCTTAGACCTACTAGTGACTTCTTGGCCACCGTTGGTGCTCCTGTTGAATATAACCACAGATGCCAAGGGCCACAGCTGAGGAAGTGGAAAATCTGCACGGGCCCAGTAAGGTGCTATCTAAAAGACAGAAAAGGGCCCATTTAGGAAGGAGTTGCCTTTCAATGGGCAGCCAGGCACAGGCAGAAGAGACATTAGAGCTTTGTAACTAGGGACACACAGAGTTGGCAGCACAAAGGGCCTGGGCCTCTGAAGGTTGTATGGCCAGGCTCATCATCCATCCAGGGATGACCCAGCCTGCACCCTAGACTCTCGACCTCCCACAGCAGCCGGTCCATCTGCCCAGCAGTCCCTGGGCACCCAGGAGCACAGCCTACATGGCATGAGCGGGTGGACTGGGGGTATGTGGCAGGAACAGAATTGGGGTTCTTGGGGAGGTTTTTTTCCACTTAAAACTCTTTTTGTCGCCTACGTCTCCAGACATTTAAAGACTTCTGAGCTATTTTCAGACCTACTATGAAAAGAACTGAGGTGCTAGCAGTCAGACACCCATCGAACTGTTTCCTAAGAGGAGAACTGGCATGACTCACTTTTGATCTGTCAGCTTTGTATTGATTTTTCTGGCAAACTTTGTAGGTCTGCCCAGGGTTGACTCCACTGGGAGCGGCTACATTGTAACCCGCTGCGTCCAGAGTCGGTCATTACAAAGACCACCATCACAGGATCGGATTATGCATTTCTTTTTGTGGGAATGTGGGAGGAGAGGAGGGAAACCGCAATCCACAAAACCAAGGGTGTCCCTGGGCTTCCCCACTGCCTGCTGAAGGGAAGCCAGGCAGCTCTCTTCATGCCTCTCCTGGGCTGGAGACTGAGGGCTGCCTTTGGAAAGAGGGGCTGGTTGGAGCTGACAGAGGCCCAGAGGCAAACCAATTCCACCCTGACCTTTCCTCTACACTGGGAACCAGGGAGCCAGCGATTGGAGGCTCAGAAGGAGGATGGTGAGGTTTTATGCACAGTTTAAATATATTGCTATGTAATTTTCCAATTTTAAAACATGAGATCACTGATTATTCAGTAGCTTCCCCCCCACTTTTTTTTTTTTAACAAAGTCCTCCTGTGTGTATGTTTGTGTGTGTGTATTTAAAGCCTTTTCAGTCAAACTGAGATATCCTACTGACCTTCCCATTGTACCTGAGCACCCATGAGAATGTGTAGACGCGTGTCAGAGCTTTAGAGACTGTGAGGAGCTCCTGAGTCTGAGGACTCACTCGTGCTGATATTTCAGGGAAGAGCTTGATGCCTGGAAACTGGAATGTGCAGATGTTACATATTGAGAGACTGGAGTGCTGGCCTCAGCAAACAGTGCCAGGAGAGGAACCAAGAGGTGGAAACGCGTCAACCAGGAGCCATTGTTTTGCTGAGGGCAAAGCCATTTGCCAGGCCCTGTGCTGGCTGCCCTGGCCCTCAGTGTCTCCCCCCAACTTTCCTGTGGGTGCCCTCAGGTGAAACAGCCCCTCAGACAGCCCCTTTGGAGCAGGTTTGACATGTCACTGAGAGATGCATATGTGTGTGTGTGCCTGCGTGCATGTGTGTGTCTATGTGTGTGTACGTGGGTCTCTGTGTCTGTGAGTCTGTGTGTGTGTGTGTGTGTGTGTGTCCATTATGTCTGTGTGCCCGGATGTCTGTCTGTGTGGCCATATGGATGTCTATGAGCCTTGTGTGTATCTGTGTGTGCCTGCGTGTATGTGTCTATGTGTGAACCTCTGTATATGTCCATGTGTCTGAGTGTATGCATGTGGGTGTGTCTGTGCCTCTGTGTGTGTCTGTGAACATGGGGGTGGAATGGAAGGGGACAGCCTCACCCGTGGGGAGAAGGGGATGGAAGCAACTGCTCTCCAGGGCTCCTGGTAGACATCACTTCCACAGAGAGGCTTTCTCTGCACTCCTTCCTATTTAAATTCTGCTTTCTGCCAGCCAGTGTCTCTCCCTCGTGTTGTCTCACTGCGTCCAATGCTTTTCCTTCTTAGCTGTTATTGTAATGTGTCATTTTTATTTATTGGGTGATGTGTGTCACCCCCGCTAGTCTGGAAGCTCCATGGATACAGGGAGATTTTATCTCCAGTGCCCAACACAGTACCTGGCACAGAATAAATGCTGACAGATAATAAATGAAATGAGGGCAGAAGGGCCCTGTCATTGCTCTTCTGGATAAATTGCAAGTCCCTGCGGAGTCTATTTGACGTGGTACATAGCTGCATCAAGGGTCAGGAGTTTCAGGGCACCGACATCCTTAGCAAAGCCTCCCAGGCTGGAGACCTGTGACATGCTAGCCAGGCAGTGCCACCAACAATGAGATTGGAAGGGACAGCTTCCCTGAGAGGCACATTTCTGAATGAGATCCAGAACTGAGGAAAGCTTGCCAGATATTCCCCTCGGGTGATGATTAATGCATGAACCAGTTCCCAGGTGAATAGTGTAAAAAGGAATCACTATATAGGCCCCCAACCCCTCTGAGGCAGGGCTCAGTGGAAAGCACACGTGCTATTCGGCATCAGAGCAGCGGTGGCTACATGCGCACACAGTTGGGTCGGCAGCTATTACTTTATACTAGTTAGAGGGATAGGCTTAACATTAGTTAATGTCTCATTGCTGATCTGCTAGCAAAACCTAAACCCCAAACCCAAACCTGAGCCCTTCATTTAAATGTATCCTCTGCGGCCAGCTCAGCACAATGAAGTCTGCATACCGATTTAGCCCTGCGGTTCACTGACTGGATCTCAAATGAAGTCGGCAGCGCATGTGCTGGTGTGGGAAGAAGAGCTTGCAGTGTGCATTTGTCGTCTGCCATGCACTAGCAGTGAGATACTGCGCACAACATGGCACCTCTCTAGCCTTCAGGGAAGAGGTGACGCCTGAGCTAGGACTTGCAGAGAGAGGAGGGGTATCAGAGGGAGAATGTGCGTCCTGATTCCTTGGGGCAGGACCAGGGATAGCTACTACCAGCACCAAACCTGCTCCAGGGGGCCAGCCTAGCCCCAGAGGGATAAAGGAGTTAAGGGTAGGCTGCTCCTGGGGCCCTCCTGAGAGGCACAGATGGATAAAAGGTTGGGGGCTGGGAGATGGCAGGAATCCAGACCGAGAGTGTGGCCAGAGGCCCTGAGAGCCCCAGACACAGGGGCTCCTTTCAGCTCCAGCGCTAGCTCCTAGGCTGGCAGTCTTAAGGCAAATTTCTCCCGTTTCCATTTTTTAAAAATTTATTTTTCTAAATTTTAATTGTGATAAAATAGCGGAAATTTTACTATTTTAAGTGTCCAGTTTGGTGGCATTAAATACATTCGCATTATTGTGCAACCATCACCACCATCCAATTCCAGAACCTTTTTCACCTTGCAAAAAAAAAAAAAATTCTGTGCCCATTAAACAATAGTTCCCCATTCCCTAATCCCCTGTCCCTGGTTCAGTTTTCTATTTGATTTTATTACATAAGCACGTGTGTGTGTATGTGTGTGTGTGTGTGTGTGTGTGTGTGTACCATCACCCAGTGGTACAGTGCAAAAAACTTACATAAATCTTCATTAAAATTCTAGGTCAGACATTTACTACTGTGAGAATTCGGTTAAGTAACATCATCTTTCTGAACATTTGTCTTCTCAGCTAAAATCTAAGGAGGAGGATGATGACGTTAATAGCTAACATTCACTAGGCACATGTCCATGCATTTCCTTTTCTCAAAAACCCTATAAAAGAGGTTCTAGTATAATTTCCATTGGTAGATGAGGAATTGGAAGCACAGAGATGTATCCCAAGGCCACATTTAACATCTATTTAATATCCCAAGGACACATTTAACATCTAGAAGGTCACTGTGAAGAAAGTGCCAAGTACAGAGCCCATGCCCAAAAGTGCCCATGCCCAAAAGTGAGGGTTCCTGTTGCCTTTTTCAGGAGTCTTTACCAGGTGCGGTTTATATAGTCTATGTATGGAGCATCCTTTGTGCAGCAATGAGTCTAGAGGCATTGCATTTTAGCTTCACCACAACACTAGAAGGTAGATATTTTAAATGTAGTTTTAAAGTGCATTAATTTGTAATTCCACAATCGTTGAAATCAAAGAAATCATACCTTATAGGGAGAACTCAAAACTCACATGACTACCACCCTCTAAACTCAGACCCCACCCCAGAGTAACTATTCTTATTGCATTGGTGTACTGTATGTCTTCCCAGACCTTTCTATGAATTAATAGACACATCTTTGTACCTGGAGAATTGAAAAATGCTTTCGCAGCTTGCTCTGTTCTGGAAACTTCTCAATATCACTCAGAGATATTTTTCCATATCAGTTCATAAAAATCAACCTCATTCTTTTTAACTGCACAGTGTGTTCATATCGAGGTGTATTTAGCCACCTCCCTCTGATGATCAGTTACTGAGGTGGGCAATGTCTTCATTTGGGCATGGTACCTTGTCCAAGGCCATCTGACTGGCCAGTGGCAGAGCTGGGTTCTAGCATCCTCGTTTCTGGCTCCAAAGTCAACAGCCATAACCACTGTAGTATAAATTAGCACAAACACAAAGTCTGTTTTCAAGTCAGATGGAAACTCAGTAGTTACTGACTACATTTATTTGTTCAATGCTCACTTATTTATTGAGCATCTACTATGTACTACAACCAGTGGTGGAGAATCTCCATCTTGAAATATCTCCCCTCTTGGCTTCTAACTCCACCTCACGCCTCCTGGCTTGTTGTCAAATTTGCTGGCCATCCCTCTTGCTCCACTGCCCCCTAAATTTTTATCTTTGTTCCCTTTTTTTTTCCTCACTTGGCACTGTTCCTGTGGGCCTTTCCATCCACGCCTCTGATTACTAAGTCTTCATTTCCAGGTCTCCCTCCCTTTCTCATCCAGCTCCAGACTCATGTTTCCAGCTGCCCCCAGGATACCTGCTCCTGGATATCTCATAACCATCTAAAATTCCACATGTCCAATTCTGGACTCATTCTCGCACCCCTAAACCCACTCCTATTCCAATAAACTGCATCACTGCTTTGGGGTGACCCAAGTTGGGTCTGCAAGACTAACTTCATCCTCTCACTCTTCTTTGTTCCATAAAGTCATTTAGTGAATGAACCAGCTTCATTGGCTCCATTTCCTAAATAGTTCTGGGATCTGCCCTCTCTTCTCCAACGCCACTGCCCTGTCATAATTCAAGCCCCCAGCCTGTCTCCCTGAACTGGAACAAAAGCCTTCCCCTCTCCAATTCTCCAAGCTCCCAAAGCACCTCATCCATTCCTGTTATCCTTCATCTCAGCACTTGGAACTTACAGGTCTATGTCTAGTCGAGGCATGGGCCATATTCCAACCATCTTAATATCTCTGGCACGTAAGTGTTTAGAACACAGTTTCCCTGAATGTTTGCTGAAGAAGTGTTAGCACCAATGGCACCTCCAGAAATGCTAGATAAAACCACCAAGGTGCTTTATTTCAGGCCCTCACCTTTTACATTATGGTTTTAAGGAAAGTATGGGAATAAGGACAGAGGAGAATGTCTGCTCCTACATCTGCATGTGTGCTGAAGCTGACTGAGCACTTCTTACTGTTAAACTCCTTCCTCGATGTTGCAGCTTAGCAGCATTACAAATAATATCATTTCTACTATCTCTGTGTGGTAATTGTTGGTTTGTCATTCATCCTTGATTTTTGCATAGTAATTGCACATATAACAAATGTACAAAATAAAGAACTAGAACTGGTAGCAAAAAGATATATTATTGCATTAACTGTGCTGCATGCAAATACACTTTTATCTTCTCAACACATCAACTGAGGACTGTATATCTTTTATAAAGCACATTTTAGTACTGTGGTTGGGTCCTTACAGTGCAGGAAGCCCTGAGACTATTAAGATATCCCTCAGTGTTCACACAGATTTCTGTACCAACGACCACAGAATTATAGGAATAAAAATTAAACTGGCTCCTAGCTAAAGCAAACAAAACAAAACAAACAAACAAAAAAAACCCAGACTCCGTTTTTCTCATTTTTGTAAAGCAGAT